GCTATTAAGGCACAGTATACTCTAGTCAGTTGAAAACTGAAACTAGCTATAAAATATTTAAATAACATTCTAACCCTGGAGCCACAATGGAAAATACTGACAAATTTGACTGCACAAAAATTAAAAGCTTTACTGCAAGTGAAAAAAATCTTCAGGACAAACTGTAAAGGTATTTGTAATGCATATGACAGACAAAAGACTAACTTCCTTCATTTACATTGTAGGAATCATTCTGAGACAGACCCCAAATGAGCAGATGTGAACAGGAAGTTCTCAAAAATGAAAGCTGATATGAAAGTAGTCTCAACCTAACGCATAATTAAAGAAATGTAATTCAAACTTTCATTAACCACATCTCAGGCTGGCAAATATGAAAATGCTCATTACTACCCAATGCCATGCAGAGTGTGGGGAAACAGACAGCCTCTTACTACTGGTACCAGTTAACTGCTGCAGACCTTTTATGGGAGGTAATTTTGGACCAGGTCAACATTTCAAATACGTATCTCATTTGACCTAGGAATCCCATCCTAGGAATGAGCTTTATAGATGTCTTGCATAGACACCAAGGTGGACCAGGAAGGAGCTCCTGGTGCAAAGACTGCACACAACCTAACATCCATCAGTTGGTGAGTGGAGAGATAAGTTATGCTGTGCCTGACTGTGGAATATCATGTGGCCATCAGGAAGCCATCAGCTCAGCAGAGAACAGTGTATCATCTCTCGTTATGACATGACACTGATAAAAATTATATACATGATATACAGATTATATTTACATTTTGTTTTGGAAGAAGATTCGTGATGCTAATGACCATTTCTGTCTTGAGAAACTATGTGAATGATTGTTCCATCAAGTGAGATAACAGATACAGGTGCAGGTCTTTGGGTGAAAATCATGTCTGTTGACTCTTGAGTGTAAAGTACACTTGGGAGGAGGACTGAACACAGTTCAATATAGAAAGGAAGGCTGCTAGTATCTAGTTTATGTTTCCAAGTTCTATATGAACTTTTAACATTATGTGCATGTAATATATTTTATAATATTTAAAATATTTTATAATAGCTTTTAAATAAATTGCATATTAAGGCAATCCTTGAGCTGTTGGCCCAGGGCCACATGTGAGAAACATCATTCAACTTTTCCCCCAACAAGAGCCAGGATAGGAATTCTTTGTGATCACCCCACTGTACCACAAGTTGTTTCTCTACCTTGTGAAATCCTTTCATCACTTTTTGTTCATGGAGGTCCTTAGGAAAAACCCCTGAAAGATTCCTGAGATGCACCCTGCTCCAACTGCCACAACCAACCCCACCATCTTGCCTCAAGATAGCCATAACAGGATTTTGTTCTGAACCATTTCCATTTCCCTGTAATCCCCAAACATCAAAGTATGGTCTTAGCCAAAGATCTAAAGAATCATGCAAGTGGTGCTAGTGGTAAAGCATCCATCTTCCAATGCAGGAGATGCAAGAGACACAGGTTCCATCCTTGGGTCAGAAAGATCCCCTGAGGTGGGAAATGGCAACCCACTCCAGTATTCTTGCCTGGAAAATTCCATGGACAGAGCTGCCTGGTGGGTCATAGTCCACGGGGTCGTAAAGAGTCGGACACGACTGAGAATGCATGTTGACACTGACATTTAACACATCACTGATTTGGACAACTGTGTGTGCCTGTGTGTGTGTTTGCATCCCAAGGTGAGCAGAACAGTGTGATCAGTGGACAGAGCCCTGAATCAGGGACCAGAGGGCTTGAGTTCTAATCCCCCTCAGCAGTTGACCAGCTGTGTCCAGCGGCCATCACAATGCCTCTTGACCTTCATCACTTGTCTCTTAAAAGAAGAAATCCAACTTAGTCATGGTCTCTAATGATCCTCACAGGTCAGACATTCTGGTTTTTCTACATTTCTTTCCTGGCCCCAACTCAAAGCTTGGTTATATATTCTTCCATCTCTCTCCTTTACCTAGAACCTCCTGTAGGGCTGAGCCTGCAGAGATCTGGTGTGCATGGCTTCCTGGGGTGGAGAGTTTGGGCCTTAGAGGCAGATAACCTTGGCTTCGAACTTCATTTCTGCTCCTCAACAACCATGGAATCAGCCAGTTATCTTCTGTGAGCCTTGATTTCTCCATCTATAAAGTACATTCAAGTTGGTGGTACAGATTAGAGTGCCACCTCCATCTCAGGGGCCTGGCACATGATGAAGGTGAGTCACTTCAGTCATGTCTGACTCTTTGTGACCCATGGACTGTTGCCTCCAGGCTCCTCTGTCCATGGAATTCTCCAGGCAAGAAGACTGGAGTGGGTTGCCATGTCCTTCTTCAAGGGATCTTCCCAACTCAGTGATCAAACCCAGACCTCCCACATTGCAGGCAGATTCTTTATAGTCTGAGCCTAATAGGTGCTCAATAAAAAGGGAAATTCTTATAATGGCATCAGAAAGCAATGGCAGAAGGGCACAGGATGCCTATTTCCTTATCTCCAAGTCTTATCAAACACCCTTCCTCTCTCTGGGCATTTGTGTCCTCACTCCTCTGACAGTGTGTGTTGTGTTCTATTGAAATAGTCTGTTGATGTCTCTGTCTCACCCACTAGACTGTGGAATCCTTGGGATCCTGAATCATGAGCCCTAGTCCCTGGCACATGCGTGCACTGTGATACATAGAGGTCTACGTGTCTATCTTCTATGGGCGTCCCTGGTGGTTCAGATGGTAAAGAATCTGCCTGCAGTGTGGGAGACCTGAGTTTGATCCCTGGGTCTGGAAGATCCCCTGGAGAAGGGAAGGGCTACCCACTCCAGCATTCTTGCCTGGAGAATTCCCATGGACAGAGGTCGCCAAGAGTCAGACATGACTGAGTGACTTTAGATATATGGTCTTAGCCGAAGATAGAATGAGTTACTAACTTGGACAACTGTGAGTGTCTGTGTGTGTGTTGAGCGTTACCTGCCACAGGTAGGTCTGGGAGGCCTGCAGACTTTGGGGGCGGTTTTGGCTCAGGCTCAAGCTATCCCTGGCCCACATGTTTCAGCTCTGACTGAGCTAACCTAGGCGGGTTCCTGTATGCAGTGGGGAGTGGAGGGCTCTCTGGGCACACCGATATAAGCAGTGAGCCCTCAGCCCAGCGCCTGGTGCAGACTCAGCTGTCAGCCAGCCAGGAGTCCCGGGGGGAAGCACGTCCTTTCATCCAGGAGACAAAGAGACTTCAGGTGCAGTGGAGAGCATCTGCAGGCGCCACTCAGCAGAGGAGGAGGCTCATTTTTAATCAATTGTAGCCTCTTTCATCAGTGACAGCAGGGGCCACAGTCAGCATCACAGAATCACTTTAATTGCCTCTGAGAACTCTCCACACTTCGGGTGTCCTGGGAGGGTCTCCTCGGCAGGCCCAGGCAGCCCCACGGGCTCTCCTGTTCACACCAGTTGCACAACTCCTCGAGGGTTCCCACAGGTCAAACCCAAGCTTTTCTCTCCCTCAAAAGGCCCTTTGCTTCCGTGACTAGCACAACTACAGTCCCGGGCACCCCAGCCAGGAGCCCAGGAATAAGGCTGGAGCCCACCCTCCTCTCCAGGCGTCTGGTTGGAGAGGCCCATCCTACGCCCTTTCCCCTGTTCAAGGCCTCGACATCTCTTAGCTGGGCTGCCATGCCAGTCTCCTCACCACTCTTGACCCCTAAAAGTCCAGCCGCCCCCCCGCCCCGAACCTCACCCAGCTCCCTCTTCCTAGAGCGTCTTCCCTCTGCCCTCACTCCCCGAGCTGACTTGATCCACTCCCTGCCCTGGGGGGACCTCTTGCTAGAAGCTGCCCGGGATCTGCATCACCCCCCAGTGGTTGCGTCCTCCTCTGGGTCCCTGGGCCTTGTATTTAGTGGCCTAGCTGTCTGTGCATGGTTCTGTTTCGCAGTTGGATGGAGAGTTCTGGAGGGTCAGGCTGCAGGTTGCCTCCATCCCCACAGCCCCACGCCTGACATACACACTGTGTCTGGGCAGAGTATGTTGGAACAGTTAAATCCAACGTGCTTATAGTGGAAACAGCCAGAGGAGACAGACTGCTTCTGCCCTGAAAAAGATGAGCTGTCGCGTGCTGGGGGCACCGCCTGATGACAGAGGGCGTGAAGAGCCCCCCGCAGCCCCTGGTTACTGAGGGGTCACTGAGACCCGGGGTGTGCACCTGAGGCGGGCTCCCTGCTGCCTTCCCAGGCCACTGGCCACCCTCAGGCAGGCCTGGGACGGGGCGGCTTTTCAGAGGCTCTGGCCCTCTGGTACCCGGGCTTTAATTCACAGATGGCATAGTCCTGAGACTATGTGCATGAAGGCCCTTCTTGGCTCTTTTCTGACCTCTCTGGCCAGCGCTTGGAGGAAGCCCCTAGTTAGGGAGTTCTCCATGCACAAACTGTTGCAGATGTTGAGGGTGGGGGCGCTTGGGAAATGACCTAGTCTCATCCCGCCTTGTCCAAATAAGGAAATGGGCCCCAAAGGGGAAGGACCTGGCTGGAGGTCACCAGCTCATACTTGACAGAGTAGCGGCTGGGACTCAGGTCCCTGACTAGGTTGATGCCTTGTCATTGTAGAATTCTACCTCAGTCTCCGCCACGCTTTTCAGAAGTTCTTCCATCAGACCTGCTGTGGCTGCCCTTCCTCCTGCCCAGCTTCTTTGCCCTGGGCTGTGGGCACCCGCAGCATTGGCAAGAATGGGGAAGGACATGAGCTTTGGGTCAACCTTGGGATTTGGATCTCTAGCCCTGCTGCATGTCAGTTCGCTGGTCCCCCTGGGTTAAAAAAAAAAAAAATCTAACCTCTCTGAGCTTCTTAGTAAAATAGGAGCTATAGAATCTCATGAGATTGTTCTGAAGAACTAATGTATATAAAGAACCTCACACAGTACTGGTTCACAGTGAGTACTTAATGAATGGGAGTTCCGCAGCATCCTAAAATAAAGGTGCTGATCCCCTAAATGGTCCCTTTTGAACGGCTTCCGTCCAGGGCCAGCAGTAGATTGGTTACTACCGGGCATCAGGAGGAGAAACGGAGGAGAGAGTTTCGTGGAGGCCCGGACCGGGCACAGATGAATCGTATTTCTTCTGAGCGGTGGGCTGCGTCCAGCCGGGAGCCTTTGCGGGGATCCGCAGCCTCTCCAGTTCCGGCCCCGGCGGAGCCGGGCAGAGACTGAGGTCGGAGCCTGGCGGGCTGAGCACGGCCTGCAGCGCCCCCTCGTGCCCGCCGCGGGAAGGCGGCCTCCCCAGCGACAGGTCTGCAGGCCTTGTGCTCTGAGGGGAAAACAGGGTCCAGTTGATCCTGCGGAGTGGGTGTTTGTGGGGCAGGAGACTTCCCCAGACTGTCCCCCGGTCGCAACCCTGCCACCGTCTGCAAAGGTCAGTCATTGCCCAGTGTTTCCCGAGTTCTTGGAATCCCCCAAGCCTGTGGTGCCAAGACCTGTGTTCCACGCAGCATTCTTCCCAGCCCCCAGCAAAAGGGGCAGAGGGCCGGAGCAGAGCTCCCATCTGCTTATCGCAGGACTCCAATCAGAAAATCCAGAAAAATGTCGTTCTAACATGCATTTTAACAAGCATGCAAATTTCATTTGATGGTTTGTATGATTTTGAGTAGGGCTTCCCAGGTGGATCAGTGGTAAAGAGTCTGCCTACCAATACAGGAGACGCAAGAGACACAGGTTTCATCCCTGGATGGGGAAGATCCCTTGGAGAAGAATTGGCAACCCACTTCAGTACTGTTGCCTGAGAAATCCATGGACAGAGGAGGCTGGAAGGCTACAACCTACAGGATCGCAAAGAGTTAGACACAACTTAGTGATTAAAAAACAACAACAATGATTTTGAGTGCATTTAGTGAGGAGTTACCATACAGCTGTTTGGTTCTTTAAGATTTTATCACACAGATTTGGGCAAGTGGTAGGGAAGGAATCCCACTGGTCCTGGGCCTGGAAGAGGGGAGTTCAGAGCAGAGACCCCTCTGGCCCCCGCATTCGTGGACCAGACCAGCCCATCACTCTGTGCTGACATGTTCACTTGTGGTTTCCCCCCTGAACCCTGACCTCAGAGGTCACGAACTGGGTTTTTATTCTTTGTGTCAGTGGCTCCCTGCATAGCACCTCACATGGAGAAGGCACAGGTAAATGCCAGATTAGGGGGCAAAGGCAAATGTGAGAAGGTGAGGTTGGGAACACAGTTGTGGCAGGTGGAAGGAAAAGAGAGGTACAGTACAGAATTAAGCACAGAGGGGCCCCTGTTAAAGACACCCCAAACTCCCCTAGTAGGACATTAAACCACATTCATTCATGTACCAGAGCCCCCAAATTTGCCAATCCTGCAGGAAACAGGACTTGACCCGGTGAATCCTGGGTTGAGGTGGTGCCCAGTAGGGTGGATGGAGTGAGACTACGGTTTTACCAAGGCCATGTCCAACAGGCGTGTGTGCAGAGGGTCACTCACCTCTGTCATCAGAAATACCGGGTTCAAATCTGGCCTCTGCCTCTTGCTAACTGTGTGACCTTGAACCCACAGTTCCTTATCCATGATCCTAGGAACTCCTACCTTGCAGATTGTTCTGAGGTTTGAGAATATGTGCCTGGCAGAGGGAACCCTCAAGACAGTTGCCCAAATACTCCTAATGTTTCCAGCGAAGGTGGCCATGCAGCCCTGCCCACCCCAGCTTCAGATCTTTCTCTCTCCACTGGCCCAGGACCCATTCCTCCCCAGACCCCACTCAGCTGCTGACTTTGGCTCCTGCCCTCTGAGAAGATAGAAACAATCAGATGAGAACACCCTCATCCCTCATCTACCAAATCCACTGGCTTCCATGTCTTTATTCAGATTTCCATCTTCCTTCCTGCTATCCTAGAACTATTCCTGTCCCCGCCAATTGCTCAGAACCCTCTAGTCCTCCTAAAGACCTGGCTCCTGAAATCGTGCCCTCCCTCCTGAATTATTAATTGAGCCTATCTACTATGCTCATTCCCATCAGCATAGAAACAGGACTTTATCTTGTTACAAAAAATAAAGTCCTCCCTTGCATCCCACCTGTCTCCCTCCAGCTGCAGCCCCATTGCCCTCCACAGCCACACAGCCAAAGCGTCTGCTGGGCCCTGTCTTGTCCTCCGAGGTGCCTGCGCACCAGTGACGCCCAATGACATGCAGGGAGACTGGGATGCAAAGTCCGAGGTCGGGAGGGGGATGGACCCTGATGAGTCCATTTATTGTTTACATTAAATAATTTCTTTTTTCTTTCTTTAAAAATTTATGTTTACATTTTTATATTGGGGAATAATTGCTTTACAGTGTTGTGTTAGTTCCTGCTATTAAACGAACTGAATCATCTATGAGTATACAAATATCCCCTCCTTCTTGAATCTCCATCCCACTCACCCCCAAATTCGTCTGCCCTAGGTCATCACAGAGCACAGACCTAAGCTCCCTGTGTTACATGGCATCTTCCCACTAGCTATCTATTTTACACATGGTAGTGTATATATGTCAATACTACTCTCTGAGCATCTGTGAAGGCTCTTGAATAATCATAATAACCCAGACTGAGCATTTACCACATGCCAGGCAACATTTAACATGCTTTCCTTTAACTTATCATTTCTTTTGGTTTTTCTAAACTTTATCTTTTACTTATTTGTTTTTATTGGAGTATAGTTGCTCAACAATGTTTATCAGTTTCAACAAAGTGGACCAGTTACATGTATATTTATATTCCCTCTTTTTTGGATTTCCTTCCCATTTACGTCACCACAGGTCACTGAGTAGAATTCCATGTGCTATACATAGTCGGTTCTCACGAGTTATCTGTTTTTACATAGTAATTTATATATGTCAATCCTGATCTCCCAATGCTTTCCCCTCCCACTTCCTCCCCCCCACCTTGGTAACTGTAAATCTCTACTTCTGTGACTCTATTTCTGCCTTGCAGATAAGTTTATCTGTACCATTTTTCTAGATTCTACATACAAGTGATATCATACGAGAGTTTTCTCTCTCTGAGTTACTTCACATCTATAGGTCCATCCACATCTTTGCAAATGGCACTGTTTCATTCTTCTTTATGGCGAACATAATATTTCATTGTGTATATGCACTACAGTTTCTTTATCGATTCCTCAGTTGATGGAATTTAGGTTGCTTCCATGATATTGTAAATACTGCTGCAATGAACACTGGGGTACATGAATCTTTTCAATTATGATTTTCCCCTGATATATGTATAGGATTGGGTTTGCTGAATCATATGATAGCTCTAGTTTTAGTTTTTTATGAAATCTCTGTACTGTTCTGCACAATGGCTGTATTAATTTACATTCTCACCAATAGTTTAAGAGAGTTCCCTTTTTCTCCACACCCTCCCCAGAATTTATTCTTGGTAGATTTTTTGATGATGGACATTCGAACTGGTGTGAGGTGATACCTCATTGTAGTTTTGATTTGCATTTCTCTAATAATTAGTAATGTTTGGCATCTTTTCATGGGTTTGTTGGCCATGTGTATCTCTTCTCTGGAGAAAAGTCTATTTAGTCTTCCACCTATTGTTTTGATTGGGTTTATATATATATATATATATTGAGTGCATGAACATGGCAGAAAGTGAATAAAAACTAAAGAGCCTCTTGATGAAAGTGAAAGAGGAGAGTGAAAAAGTTGCCTTAAAGCTCAACATTCAGAAAACTAAGATCATGGCATCCAGTCCCATCAATTCATGGCAAATAGATGGGGAAACAGTGGAAATAGTGGCTAACTTTATTTTTCTGGGCTCCAAAATCACTGCAGATGGTGATTGCAGCCATGAAATTAAAAGATGCTTACTCCTTGGAAGGAAAGTTATGACCAACCTAGACAGCATATTAAAAAGCAGAAACATTACTTTGTTGACAAAGGTCCGTCTCGTCAAGGCTGCGGTTTTTCCAGTGGTCATGTATGGATGTGAGTGTTGGACTATAAAGAAAGCTGAGCACTGAAGAATTGATGCTTTTGAACTGTGGTGTTGGAGAAGACTCTTGAGAGTCCCTTGGACTGCAAGGAGATCCAATCAGTCCATCCTAAAAGAGATCAGTCCTGGGTATTCATTGGAAGGACTGATGCTGAAGCTGAAACTCCAGTACTTTGGCCACCTATGCAAAGAGCTAATTCATTTGAAAAGACCTGATGCTGGGAAAAATTGAGGGCAGGAGGAGAAGGGGATGACAGAGGATGAGATGGTTGGATGGCATCACTGATTCAATGGACATGAGTTTGGGTAAACTCTGGGAGTTGGTGAAGGACAGGGACGCCTGGCATGCTGCGGTTCATGGGGTCGCAAAGAGTTGGATACCACTGAATGACTGAACTGAACTGAACTGGACATGACCTGCTTATATATTTTGGAGATTAATCCCTTATCAGTAGTTTCATATGCAAATATTTTCTCCTATCTGAGAGTTTTCTTCTCATCTTGCTTATGGTTTCCTTTGCTGTTCAAAAGCATTTTAGTTAGGTCTCATTTTTTTAAATTTGTTTTTATTTCCATTGGATCAAAAAACATCTTATGGTAATTTATGTTAAAGATGTTCTGTCTGTATTTTCCTTCAAGAGTTTTATACTATCTGCCTTTACATTTAGGTATTTAATCCATTTTGAGTTTATTTTTGTGTGTGGCATTTCAGTTCAGTTCAGTTGCTCAGTCGTGTCTGACTCTTTGTAATCCCATGAACTGCAGCATGCCAGGCCTCCCTGTCCATCACTAACTCTCGGAGTTCACCCAAACCCATGTCCATTGAGCTGGTGATGCATCCAACCATCTCATCCTCTGTCATCCCCTTCCCCTCCTGCCCTCAATCTTTCCCAGCATCATTTGGGAGCGTGCTATTTTGAGTCTTTTACATGTAGCTGTCCAGTTTTCCCAGCATCACTTATTGAAGATACTTTTCTGCACTGTATATTCTTGCCACCTTTGTCATAGATTAGGTGGCCATAGGTGATTGGGTTTATTGCTAGATTTTCTATTCTATCCTGTTCTATTGAGCCATATTTCTGGTTTTTGTTTTTGGCAGCACCATACTGTTTTGGTTACTGTAGCTTTGTAGTATAGTCTGAAGTTAAGGTGCCTGATTTCTCTAGCTCCATTGTTTCTTTAGGTTGCTGTAGCTGTTTGGGATACAAAGGATACATTTTTTTTTGTTCTAATTCTGTGAAAAATGCCTTGTAATTTGATAGGGATTAGATTCAATCTATAGATTGCTTTGCATAGTATAGTCATTTTGACAATATTGATTCATCAACCCAAGAACATGGTATATTTCTCCA